TTCCTTCCGCATACATATCTGGTCCTGTGTTTCTCACTAACGAAATCTCCATTGTTTTCCTACCTCATTTCGCATACACCTTAATTATTTAATCTGTTCATTTTTTGGTTTATATATTTAAACTGGCCACATTAATTTAGTGTTTTGATGTCCCAAGAATTATTTTATGTTTGATGCGAACAGTCGCTGGATGAAGGCGCGATAGCACCTCTCAATCATATCTTCTCTTACCGGTCGAGGGGTCAATTCCAATGAGTTTGATCCCCTTTACGACAGTCAGGTGAAATCTGTTGCACATCTCCCTCCTTACAAGACGAGGGGTTAATTCTGAGAGACACAACCATTCAGGCCGTTATCTTTTATAATTGAATTGTTAAAAGCTATGATTTTTCTTGGGGGTGCCATTTAAATACTATCAGCGCTAATCTACAATTGTTATTTTTCTTTTTCCTTTTTCACAATCTACTACCAGAACTTGCCGCGTCGCTACATAAGTAACCATTTAAAGGAATAAAAACTGTTTAATAAAGTCTATATGTAATATCATGGGATACATAAACAATTAGTATGACAATGGCAATCGTAATATTAGCCGTTTCCTTATAAGGAAGCATTTGGCATTTATTGATTGCGTAGTTAGTGCTACCGTTGGTTAGAATTTATAAAATCTTTCACTTAAAAGAGTTTTTCAGGAAAATACTTTACTCAAGTTCAGTTATGTTCGTTCCAGTATTGAGGCAGTTTCCTTGCTAGCATTTTATTTGAAGTCGTGTGGAATGTCAACATTTTATTTCTGTCATTATTTTCTCTTCGAATTATATGCGATATCTATTTTAATTATTGAAATTCTTCAAATATTGAAATTCTTCAAATCATGTAGATTCTGTTATTTGGTACAGTTCTTTGTTTTTGGTTCTGTAGCGGCAGTCCACGACATTCGAAGAAGGATGATCCCCACTGAGACCTACAAGCTTCACAAGCTCGAAGCCATTTTAGTCATCGATCTGAGAAAGTAGTTGTATGCCGTTGACAGCTTAGTTTAATATATAAAAAAAAGATGTTAAAAAGAAGTTAGTTTATTTCATCTTGTCGCTTATACTCATTGTCGGACGTGAGAGCACCTTTCTGTCTTTACTGAATTCGTCTCTCATCTGCTTTTCTCTTTAGTTGTCCAAGATATTAAGTGTATATAGGATTTGGGTAGAATATTGGAGTGTCCCACTTTCTTAAATATCAGACTAATACTTTAGACACTCTCTTTGACGCTAAAATCTCCTTCATAAATTAATGAACATGTGTAAACTTTTAAAATATATCACTGACTACTCTTATTAGAACGGATACAAAAGAAACGCTTTTTAAAAATCTTTGTAGCTTAATTATTTTTTTAATAATAATTGGCTTTTTCTTTTTTGATGATTGGATTCATACCACGGGCAATGCCAGATCTACTTACTAGTTGAATTTCACATAGAAAATAAGCTATAAGAACATAATAAGTAAAAAAAAAAATAAGTAAAAAAATATGTAAAGACTTTCCATGATGTACAAATTCTGAGATATGCAAACGGTTGCACACGCGCTTGCGCGCTCCGCCTGATTCCGGTTCAGGAAGCTTGAGACCTGAGACATTAAATAATGGGCGGGTTTTTTTTTTACTTCTTTTTAAAAGAGTTCTGTCAACGACAAGCGATCCACAAAATGCAAGACTAAAAAAAAAAAATAAATATTAAAAACTCTGATCAAAGTACAGCGCCACATGTTGGAACAACTCAATTTTTTTTTCCTTTTCTCTACAACAATACAGAGGCTAGTGCTGAGTGCAGACGTCGTGCGCCAGGCAGCACGAAGCATATCGACTTGCACATACGGAGCAGCAGCAGTAAAACGAATCAAATAAGTAGATGAATAAATTGGGTAAGGATTGGAGTTGGAAAAAAAAAGGAGAAAAAAAAAAAAACAGAAATGGCAGAGGTGGGGATGTGTCTAATGTTCGTTGAGTGTGTGAGCAGCTGTAGTTGGGGGAAATCAGCGAAGGAAACGGAAAGAAAGAAAGAAAGAAAGAAAGAAAGAAAGAAAGAAAAAAAGACGAAAAATATGGAATGAAAGGGGATAAGAAATAAAAATGAAGTAAAGAAAGAAAAAGAAAGAAAGAAAAAAAGTAAGAGAAGGAAGTAATGAAAGAAAGAAAAAATAAAAAGAAAAAAAATATGAAGAGATGAGAAAAACGAGAAGTAAGAAGAAAAGGTGTAAGGAAAAATATTAATAGACAAAGAGAAAAAAACAAACAACTGGCTATCCAGATTGATGGACATATATATATATATATATATATATATATATATATATATATATATATATATATATATATATATATATATATATAAAAAAGAGTCATAGATGCTAATAAAAATTTGTTTTAAAATGCAAACGCAAGTAAAAACTGAAAACGAAAAAAGACACTAATTCAAAAGTGGAGACATAAATAACAAGCAATAAAATTTACTGGCTGAGTTAAAGGTCTGTTAAAATGAGAAGAAGGACGTAGAAAGTGTATATATATATATATATATATATATATATATATATATATATATATATATATATATATATATAAAGGCTCAAACACTTATAACCATGAAATATTAGTGTTTGAGCCTTTTATAATATATATTCTTGGTCTATCCTGGACATTGAGTTCTACCTGGATTCTATCCTCTTGGAAATTATATATATATATATATATATATATATATATATATATATATATATATATATATACACCACTCTTTATATCTATGTATCTCTTTATCTCTCTCTCTCTCTCTCTCTATATATATATATATATATATATATATATATATATATATATATATATATATATATTCTATATATATTCTATATATATATATTAAACTACACAATATAATCCTAAATTACCTCATATGTGGAATAGGCTTATTTCAACCGACGAAATTCGTCATTTTTATTCAACCCCGGTATAGATATAATTCCGACACGAACTCAGTCTATACCGCAATACCGGTTTTGAATAAGACTGAAGAATTTCGTCGGTTGAAATAAGCCTATTTTCCACATGAGTTAATTTTGGATTTTATTGTGTACTAATTATTTGCTCTGTAATAATAAATACACTGAGTTCTTTTTGTGGATCAGTTTTAATATTTTATATTAATAGGATCTACTTGGATTATATAACAACGGATTTAATACCTTTACTATATATATATATATATATATATATATATATATATATATATGTGTGTGTGTGTGTGTGTGTGTGTGTGTTTTCATTACATGTATATGAACATTCATAAGAGGGATCATCCATTCAACTTATTAGAAAAGATCCAGCTCAATTCATAAGATATTTAGCACGTGAGAGAGGAGTCTCAGTTATGACAGTGCAGATAGCAGTGAAAAAAGACTTGAAAATAAAATTGTACGTGAAATCTCTGAGGCACCTTGTTACACCAGGGCAGAAGGTAAGAGGGTGAAAATTATCTTGAATCAATTTGAAAATGATCCTGGAATAATACATACATACATACATTATCTAACAATTGCACAGTTTTGCGGTTACACGATTTGGACAATTTCGCTGTTACACCCATATATATATATATATATATATATATATATATATATATATATATATATATATATGTGTGTGTGTGTTTGTGAGTGTGTGCGTATCTATGGATATATACTCAGTGCGGTCATAGGAATCAACACTGAGAACTGTCAGTTTCACGCCTCAGTACAATATATATATATATACATACGTATTTTCGATACACACACACACTCACACACATATGTGTATATATATATATATATATATATATATATATATATAGGGAGACAGAGAGAGAGAGAGAGAGAGAGAGAGTGAGAATAAATTTAAAGTATGAAACATAAGAAGATTTGAAAGAAACAAAAGAGGATTTAAAAGAAACAGTAATCGGAGAGAAAAAGAAATAGGTTTTCGAGAAAGTAAAAAAAAAAAAAATAGAAAGAGAGGATAAAGAAAAAAGAAAAAATAACGAAGAAAAAGGAAAACAAAGATCAAGAGATTGTTTGGCAAAAGGCCATAATTGAGGTCTATCTAAATGAACATTACTATCAACAGGCCCCGAAGAAAAAGTTTGCTAGGAATACAAACAGAAAAATTGAATAAATAAACTAACGATAGTTGAAAAAAAAAAAAAAAAAAAAAAAAAAAAAAAAAAATGATGAAATTTACGAAGGAAGTAAGTTGCAAAGATGAGGAAAGTAGAAAATAGAGAGTAAAAAAATATGGAAAATAATTTATTGAAACAAGGTGTAACACTGAAAAAGGCAGACGAACACAAAGTGAAGAGAAGACGCTTTAAAAATGGAGAATAAAACACAAATTTACAATTATGAAGAAGAAAAAAGGAAATAGAAGACGTTAAGTAAAAAGAAATCGTTAGAAAATATCGTTTGATGCTTTACAACGGGAGAATGCGTGAAATTGCGAGATCCCGTCGGTAATAGAATTGGTAGGTTAGAGGAATAAGTGTTGAAGACAATAAGGAAGGCGGGGCTTTTGTTAGAGTGGCTTTGTATATGAAAGAGAATGTAGGTATGAAATCAGTGAAATCAGTGAGAAGAGAGAGAGAGAGAGAGAGAGAGAGTGTGTAATTGAAACTGTGAGAGAAAAGAGACTATATATATATATATATATATATATATATATATATATAAAATATGTACGTATGTATATATATATATGTGTATATATATATATATATATATATATATATATATATATATATATATATATATATATATATAATCAAGAAAGAAAGGGAAGAGTCCAAAAATGAATGGGTTAAAAAGAGAAAAAAAATTTGGAGAAGAAATTAAATAGAAAGAAAGAAAAATGATTGAATGAATGAATATGAGAAAAAAGACAGTAAATGTGAATGATAAATAAAACAGTACAGCTTAAATTAATATCCACTGAGAGAGAGTATGAAGCGAGAAAAATAGGCGACAGGAAGAAAAAAAAATGTGGGAAAGAAAAAAAAAAGAAAAGGATGAATGATGTGAATAGAAAGAAAGTATAATGGAAAAAAGGAATGATAAATAACAGTAATTATATGGAGAAAAGAATATGAATGAAGAAATATGGAAAAACTAAAGAAAAACAACAGTAAAAACATAAAGAGGCAAATAAGAACGCCTGAAAGAAAGAGAAAATAAAAACGGAAGACAAATAAAGGAAGATAGGCAGGAAGAAGGAAAAATGGGAAAAGTCCTTTCCTCACATAAAGAAAGGAAGAAAAAAAAGACAAAGAGAAAAATAATGAAAATGCCACAAAAATGGAATGAAAACCAAACAATAAATGAAAAAGAAATGCAAGGAAAGAAAAGAATTAAAAAACAATTTTACGAAGAAAGAAAAAAGAAAGGAAGAATGAAATTAAAAGTAAAAGGAAAATATATGCATAGAAAGAAGAAAGACAGGATGAAAGAAGTAAAAGATGGAAAAAAGAAAGATGGGGAAAAAGAAAAACCTGGACAATGACTGGAAAGTAAGAAGAGAAGTGAGATGAAAGAAAGAAATATGTTATAAAAAGAACAAGAGGATGGAAATTAAAGAATGTCTGAACAAAGAAAGGTGTAGACAAAGATAGGAACAAAGAACTAGAAAAATAGGAATGATGAAGAAATAAAGAACTGTACACGAGTAAACCAAATAAACTTATGTTCATACAATGTGTAGTGCATAAGGCTAAAATGGGACTAAAAGGATTGTATTGGACTAATTCAGCAAGTGGTGAAAATTTGCTTGTTTGGAAAATTAGCAACTATATTCTATGCTTTTTACTTTCGGCGTTATAAACGATTTATAGCGGCGAACAATTTCATACCAACACGCACACACATATTCCCTCTTTCCATCACTTAAAATTTGTCCCCCTCTCTCCCCCCCACCCTCATACTTTTACCCTCACACTTCCGATGTTCTGGTATATTGAAGTTGTTTTCTTTGGCTTGTACATCCTTCCACTTGCCTGAGGATATATATATATATATATATATATATATATATATATATATATATATATATATATATATATATATATATATATATATATGTATGTATAAATGGTCAGAGTTGAATCAGACCAGAAAACAGTAGTATTAAAAATTGCTCAATACACGTGTAAAAACAGCAAGAGTAAAAAATAACATGTAGAGCTTTTAACTTTAAAAAATCAGGAGGTCACTTGTATCCGCTACCTTGGTTTCAACCTTACGCTATCCCCAGGAGATTTTTTTTTTTATCAAATGACTACCTAAAATGACTACCTTTTATTTTTTAAAAACTAAAGAACGCTACATTATTATTTTCAAACATAAATGAACAAACGCACGACATTGGATGTAATGGAAAGGGAGGAGGAGAACGTGAAGAAGAAGAAGAAGAAGAAGAAGAAGAAGAAGAAGAAGAAGAAGAAGAGGTCTATTGTAAATGCCTCTGTGGGTGGTGGTTAAATTACATACTTTTATCCATCCTCATATGCACTTAAGAAAAATTTTCTGTTATGTAAGCAAGGGCTTAAGATTTCTGGTTTAAAAGTTTTTTTTTTTTGTGTCCGGAAATGTCATAATGACTAATTTTTCCTGTTGACAGAGGTTGCAAATATGGTTGTGGCTGTTTTATGGTTTTGATTTATTTTAAATTTTCCACCTTATCAAGGGATACCTGTTGTTTTTTGCTTCTAAATTCCGCACATGGTCAGCTAGTTTGGTAGAGTACCTAAGATTTACTAGCTTAAAAGATGACCTATGATTGTACAAACTAGGTTTAAAAGTACTTTCCGTACATGCTATGTATGTTTTATTTTGGCAATTAATATTATGCTGGAAGACCCTATGTCTAGCAAGTGACCCTGCATCATTCCACACAAACAGGAGAAACCAATTATGGCTGTCAGACAATTTATGCGACCACATCACTCTTTACACTCTACCACCTAACTCCCCAGACTTGTAACCCCTTCATTATTATGTGTTGGGCGCATTGTAACGCAATAGATGAACTGAAGGCAAGGTTTATATCAGCATTCACCCTTAAACAAGGAGACTGCCCAGAAAAGTTGCAGGAGATATCAAAGTCGTCTGGAGGTCGTGGTTGAAGCTAATGGCAAATTTATTGAATAAATCAACTATTTCAAAATGAGTTGTCAATATTATTTTCATTTTTTTTTTTTGCGTAATTTAGACGACAATTTATCCATCGCTCCCTTCCCTTTCTATATATCTATATATATATATATATATATATATATATATATATATATATATATAAAGAGAGTGAAGAATTGAATCACTCCGTTTATATCTTTCTCTTTTACATCTCCCAATATATATATATATATATATATATATATATATATATATATATATATATATATAGTATGTGTGGGGAAGGAGTGCTGAAAATGTTCTCAGCGTGACTCAGTTTTCCAAAACTGATCAAATGTCTGCAAATCAAAATATTGTTTGGAAAAGTTTCTCTGTTGGCATAGGAATCAACATTTCATGGTGACTGTCAGTTTCATGCTTCCATGCGATATTGATCTGAAGATTGCTTTGAGTTGTGAAACTGACATTCATCATGCCGTGTTGATACCTATATCTACACTGTATATATATATATATATATATATATATATATATATATATATATATATATATATATATATAGATAGATGCAGTACCGCCATTAAGAGTTCTCCCGTATAAATTCCGCAAATCTTAAACAATATTAAACATATATATGTGTGTATGTGTGTGTCTATGTGTGTGTATGCGCGCATGTGTTTATGCTGTATGTGTATGCGTACGTATCTCTCTATCTCTGTTTCTCTTTCCCTATGAATAGTAAATATGGAATAATCCGATAAAATGATGAAACTAAATAAATAGCGAAATATTTCCCGCTTGTTCCTTAATCATTTATTCATCTATTCGTTTATTTGTCTGTCTGCCTGTCTGCCTGTCTTTCTCTATCTCTGTCTCTCCCTCTCTCATATATATGGGGAGAAAGAATGTGAAAGTGCGGGAGAGAGGGAGAGAGAAAGAGAAGAATGCATTAATGGACTGAGATTGGCTGATAAATAGGAATAGGCTAAGACAGACAGATTGACATGAGCATGCACATACATAGATATTTTTTAAGCAATTCACTCCAAGGAAGGCGGGAGTGCCTCTAGTACTCAAACGGCTATAGAGAGTGAAAGTAAGGATATAGGGGCATAGGGGAGGTTGAGTAAACTCTAAAAAAGAAGAACGGAAAATGGTAAAAAGAACAGGGATCAAGGTAACAAAAGATGTAGATTGACATTACATTTAAATTTTTGAAGATTATAGTTAACAGGGAAGCAAGTAACAGGAAGGGAGTTCCACCGTCGGGAAGTGCTAGATTAGATGTTAAAGTAGAAGAGGCGGTTACATTTAACTGTTTCGACAGTAAAAGGGTGGGACCTAGCTGCCAACCTAATAGCACGCTTAAATTCATGCAGTCGGGGCAACAGTGAAAATAGCTCGTCAGAGCAGATGCCATGGAAATATTTATAGAAAAGACAGAGGGAAGCCATATTACGTTGGTGAGAGAGTGACTTGAGTCGAGCCCCCAATCCAGGACTGATCACATTGCACATCCGTCTTGGATTTGTCAAGAACCTTGAGATGAACACCGGGAGAACCAGTCAGTATTTCATGCAAGGACGAATGGTAGATTTGTAGATGTGAAAACCAAACGAGAAAAACTTTCTGGTGCGACAGAGAGAACCAACTTATCTTGCGGTAGGTGCAGCTATTGATTCAATATAGTTGTTCCACCTCAGGTCAGTGGAAAACGTCAGACCAAGAAGGCTCAGTGAGGCGTTCTCGTGTAGGTGAGCATCAACCATGTTGATAGGAGACAAAAAAGTTTTTTTTCTGGTGAGTAAATGACAGCAGTTTCGTTTTGGATGCATTAAAATTCACAAGGCATTTTCTGCCCCAGTTAACACACAGACTGGAAGTCGTTTTCGAGACCAACGGTCAGGTTAACATTGTCAGCCATGCCAGCTTTACTATTGAGACAGGAGTAAATGGTAGTGTTCTCTGCGTAGATGCCTACTTGAAAGCTGATAACGTCAGGAAGATCATTGATAAAGATCAGAAACAGTGTAGGACTAAGGAAAGAGCCTTGAGGTACACCAGCGTTCGTATGGAAGGAACTGGAACCCGTTCAGGACAACATTCATTTCACGATTAGACAGGAATGATTGGATTAAATCAAATAATTGTCCTGTAATACCGTATCCCTGAAGTTTTCCGTAGAAAGCCAGCATGCCAAACTCTGTCAAAAGCCTTCGATATATCTACAGCAACTGCTTGAGCTTCGCCGTTAATATCAACAGCATGGTATACATATTCAGTTATGGACGTAAGCACATCAGCCGTAGATCGGGCAACGCGGAAACCATATTGTTTGTCAAAGAGCAGATTGGTGGGACGGTAGTTAGTTGGGGTAGAAATGTCTCCAGAGTCCTTAAAGACTGAGACGACAGAGGAGGACTTCCAACAGGCTGGAAAGCAAGAATCAGTGAGGCAATAGAGTCAGCTCAGGGGCACATTTCCTTCAGACTACGGTTGGTATCCCGTCACGCCCACTCGCTTTATGAGAGTCCAATTTAGACATTATACAATCGATGGGGTTATGCACATCTCACTCAGTATAGCGTCAGTTCTGGAGTTCTTTGACGTGGTGTAATGGTTAGTAAGCTTGTCTCGCTTGAGGTCAACTACGACTGAGTAGTTACTTCAATCCTTACTGGGTGCTCTACACTTCCTGTCTTGTGCCACATCTAAGCTACACTTAGAAAATCAGTATAGCCTCAGTTCTATGAGGAAAATCAGGTGTGGATACCCCGGATGAGTCGTGTGTTGAGTTGGATGAGAATTTCCGAGCAAAGCATTCAGCCTTATCAGCTGAGGATGTTAGGATGTTAGAATTGCTTGAATAGAGGAAGGATTGAGGATTTACTGCAGTTCAGCATAGTCTTGTAGAGCCACTAATAATCTTTAGAACCAAACCTACGAGATGCAGTACGTTGTTTCATTCTATCTGCAAGCAGTAACTTTGCTTCATTGAAGACACGCTTGCACTCATTAAAAGCTGAGACAAAGACACGTCTGTTGCAATCAGACATGTCGCTCTGGTACAGACGGTAGAAGTGATTCCTATGGGCTATAGCGACAGAGCAAGCAGTTGAGAACCAAGGAGATAAGCGCGATTTAACTTGGTATATTCTTGCTGGGATGAAAGCCTCTATGCTTTTACCCAGGAGGAGACCTCAGTTGCACATTTTTGTACGGGATAATTAAAGACAACATTCCAAGGGACGTCGTGAAGGAAATCATAGAACGAGTCCCAATCTGCACGTCGATAACAGAAAGATATTCTGTTAGTAGGAGGTTCTTGGGGTGGGGGAGGGGGAATGGAAGGAGATGTTAACAGACACCACCTGGTGATCAGATTTTCCAAGAGGGCAGAGTTGAGAGTAGTGCGACAATAATAAGGGACGTGGGTAAAACAGACACCGTGAAGGGAAGCGTTACTGTCCGAGTTACAGGAAAGTCAACCACCTGCGTGAGGGATTGAAAAGTAAAGGGATTGGATGCCAGCGAGGTCAGTTAGAAGAGTGTTTAAGCC